AGAAAGAAAGAAAGAAAGAAAGAAAGAAAGAAAGAAAGAAAGAAAGAAAGAAAGAAAGAAAGAAAGAAAGAAAGAAAGAAAGAAAGAAAGAAACTGGGAAGGGTAACAAAATACAAAGACCTGCAAGTAGAAATGGAGTGACCGTGGCAAAAGAAAGCAAGCAAAGGTTTGTGCCAATAGCAACAGGCACCTTTGGTGCAACCCCCAAACATCTGGAGCACCAGATCATCGGCATTGACGGCATCCCCATCAGTCAATTGCAAAAGGCAGCTTTACTTGGAACAGCTTACGTCCTGCAACGATACCTCTAATACCACCAAACATCAATATTTGCCTATCCCAGGTCCATGGCTGGCTGGGGGATTCTGGGAGTTGAAGTCCATACATCTTAAAAGTTGCCTAGGCTGAGAAAGGCTAGTATAAGCCCAATACACTTTCTGCACTTCAAAATGCCTCCGATCCAGTGTGGACGTGGCTTAAAACCCAATCCTGAGTGTTCTTCTCTCCCCTTTTCACTTCTTCAGTTTTCAATCCATTTGTCTTTAATCCATTGTCTGAATGCAATAAAAGGTCATTCCGAGTTATTCCGTCAGCTTTCAGTGGTTGGATTGTTCATCTTTATTCCATTGTTAATTTCAAGCTGCATTTTAATTTTATTTCTCGCGGTCTGCTTGTTTTAAACCTCGTTAACCCCCTGGAGAGTTTCCTTGGAGAAGGAAGGCGGGAGTATCATTCGACCGTGCAAATAAATACAATTTTAGAAACCGGGTTACGCACACCTTGGCTTCCTGTGTGTTTTACAGATCAGGACTTCTTTAAATAAAGAGAGAGGAATCGGTAAGCATCCTCAGCATTACGCCCTAGAAGCCGGCCCAATATCAGGGACTTGAAAAGGAATTATTAGGCTACCAGCTGGTGTAAGGACAGGCAGACGGATGATATTCAGAAACAGAATAACAGAGTTGGAAGGGACCTTGGAGGTCTTCTAGTCCAACCCCGCCCTGGTCAAGCAGGACAAATGGTTGTCCAATTTCTTCTTAAAAACTTCCAGTGTGGGAACACCCACAAATTCTTCTGACAAGTTGTTCGGCTGATTGATTGTTCTCGCTGTTAGGAAATTCCTCCTTAGTTCTAGGTTACTTCTCCTTGATCAGTTTCCATCTGTTACTTCTTGTCTTGCCCTCAGGTGCTTTGAGGAATAGGCTGTTCCCCCTCTTCTTCTTCTTCTTCTTCTTCGGGCAGCCCCTCAAATACTGGAAGGCTGCCATTGTCTCTTATCATTCATCAGACCAAGCGAATGCAAAGCCACTCAGCCATGCCAAATTAGCCCTGAGGGTCAATTGAAAACTAGCAGGAGGGATGGGAGCTGTAAAGGCGACCCAGACTAGCAGACTTGGGGGGTGGGGGGTGGGCATTAGAATATGAAAAGGAGAAGGGAGTGGGATGGGAACGCCGGCCGCCGCCTGGACGAACACTTGACATACTTCCCACCCGCTTCCCAAAACGTGTGAGCGAAACAAAAGTAAATAGCAGCCATGTTGACGACACGGACGGAGGGGGTGGTGGAAGCAAGCCGGAGAGAAATTCTTTGGAGGATACAGAGAATGAGAGTAGGATATGACAAGCGGCCCGCCTGATGAGGTTCTGACAATCTTGACAATGCCAGCTTACTGAAGGGCATCGTCACCTGAGTCGGATGCCCGCTAGGAACCAGCTGGCTGTGGGCAAGTGACACAGGAAGCCACCCCGCCCACGGAGAAATGTCTTGGCGATTTCCTTTTCATGGCCTGGCCCTATGGGCCCTGGGTGAATTTGAATGCGAGGCCCGGCCAGCTGAATATGGCACAATGTTCTTATTATATCCTCCCTCCTGTCTTCCTTCCCGGCAGCATCCTGGATGTCTCATAACCATCCACGAAGTGCAAAGGGGCCAATTGCACTCCAATCATCGTCCCAGTCAGGATGGAGTCAGGATAGGGAAACGCAACGGGCGCTCTTAGGAGCAGCATTAAGAATGAAAACCCACATACATCAGTGTAAAACAGGGCCTCGAGGTTCTTATCCCAGAGGAACTTGGTTTGTTTATGTGTTGGGTTTTTAATCATGCCTTTATTAACTTATTGCCCAGAGGATCATGGGTTGCCCTCTCCCCTCTTTGGAAGAGCTTTATAGCCCCCGCTGCCTTAAGAACTTTCAAAACATTCTCAAAGATCCAACTCATCCTGGCACTCTTTTTTTGTTTTTTTTTTTGAACTATTACCATCTGGAAGACGGTACAGGATAATAAAAACAAGGACAAATAGGCTGAAAAACAGCTTCTATCCCAGGGCAGTAGCTCTGTTGAATTCTACTGTACAGTGCAATATTAATGTAATATCAGGGGTTTTCAATTCAATTGCATAGAATGCGAAGGATGTTTGTGTTTTATTTTTATAGTTATAATGTACACTGGAGATGGCATTTAATTTCGTTGTACGAGGTGCAGTGACAATTGAAAAATAAGCTGAACTAAATTTATAGGTAATTCAAGTGTGAACGTCTGTGATACTCCTTGCTCTACCTATTTTCCCCTGTGCTGAGAGTGACTAGAACTCCCAGTCTCCTGCTGATTGGCCCAAAGCTATCCAGTTGGCTTTCCTGCTTAAGGTGGGACTAGAATTCACCGGCTCCTGGTTTCTGGGCCTAGAGAAACTTGTGTCCCTGAATGGCAGGGATTCCATTATCCTACATTCATTCTACTTAGAACGATAAGCCAGCCAGAATTGCTTACTTGAATTAAATTCATTAATGAATTTAATTGTTAAACAAACAGCAGTATGTGAGTCAATTCAGTCTATCCCTTACCCAAGACACAAAAACTCCAGGCGAGTCCCTCTCACTCGGCCCTAGGAAGGAGCCAGTGGCAAACCACTTCTGAAAAACGTAGTGAAAATTCCCTTCCCTTGTGCAAATACATCTAGGAAAATACATTCTTGGCAAGGAAGCGATGGCCGTATTAACCTGTGTATCGGAGGGTTGTGATGGCGTTGACGGAAGAAGAAATGGAAACTGAAAAGAGACACGTGGGTTGCGTTTCGTTCTTTCACAGAAAAGCAAGCACGGCGAAAGACGGGAAGTGGTGTAAACCACGAGGAATACTTACTGGTCCTTTAACCAATCCTTCACAAAAGGGATCTCGAAAAATTCCACGAAGGGCTCATCTCGTCTCTTCGCGTTGTGGCTGGAAGGATCAGCATCGTGGGGAAAAGCAGACACGCATAAAACTGAGAGTGATGACTAAGCGTACAGGCAGTCCTCAAATTACGGCCACAATGGAGCCCCAAATTTCCATTGCTAAGTGAGACATTCATTGAGGGAGCTTTGGCCCCGTTTTACGATCTTCCTTGCCGCAGTTAAGTGAATCAAGTTAGTAACACTTGATTGTGTCAACCCTGAAGCTAGCACTTCAGTGTCAGTCCTGAAGCTGACCTGATCGATAGGGAGAGTATTAACTCATAAAATATTTGTATGGTCTTTTTAGAGTTGCCAACAAAAAGGGAGAGGGGATCAGTGGACAGCTTGCATTCCATAAATGTTTTCAAAGATAGTTTCTAGGTGACTGAAGTTTCGGCCTTAACTGGAGAGCATGATTGATGACACTGGGCTATGGATGTGTCCCATTGGAGAATATGAATTACAATACACCCAGAGGGGTGGGGGAAAACCAGGATCAAGGGTGACAATGAATTATGTGCCTCAGAGTCGGCTGCACCCAGGCAGTGCCAGCATGTCTTCTCCTAATAAATCTTACGTTTTGGAAGTTCGGCTAGAGACTCATGATTTAAATGGGGGGAAACTGACAGAGCCCTGACAGCGGGGGAGATTTGAGATAGAAAGGATGCTTAGCCAAAACAAAATATTTTCTCTTGAGAACCAAGGACATTCTCGCGCCTGGTTGGAGGAAGTGATGCCATCCAGTTGCCAATCTGCACCGTGATTGGACCATGTGACCGATGGTTTTGAGCAGTGGTGGGATTCAAATTTTTTTTTACTACCAGTTCTATGGGCGTGGCTTGGTGGGCGTGGCAGGGGAAGGATACTGTAAAATCTCCAGTCAGAGGTGGTCTTTGCAGGTTCTCTGAACTACTCAAAATTTCTGCTACCGGTTCTCCAGAACTGGTCAGAACCTGCTGAATACCCACCTCTGGTTTTGAGAAAGTAGAAAAACTTTTACTTTTAATTAGGTGAAAACCGCGGGAGACTTCAGAGTCGGTTTTCACCAGATCTGTGCCAACATGGTCCTTCCAATAAAGCTTTTCTTTGAGGGATCTACCTGCCTCGGAGTTTTGCTTGATATGGGTCTCTTACATGGAACCCTGACAACAAGGTTGTTAAACGAATCTGGCTTCCCCGTTTGACTCTGCTCATCAGAAGGTCACAAATGGGGAACACGTGACGCTGGGACACTGCAACCGTCATAAATACGAGTCAGTTGCCAAATGCCTGACTTTTGATCTCAATGACCATGGGGACGCTGCAATGGCTGTAAGTGTGAAAAATGGTCATAAGTCACTTCTTCAGTGCCGCTGTAACTTCGAACGGTCACTAAACGAGCTGTTGTGAGTCGAGGACGATCGGAATTGCTCTCTGCTTAGGAGGAGGAGGAAAAAACATAACGGAACCATCTTCAAATACTGAACCCTGAGCAAGAAACTTACTTGTATAGCCACTCTGTCAGGAAATCAAGAGCGATAAATCGTGTCTGTTTCCTCTGGAAGAACAGAAGAGACATCAAGTTCAGGAAAACAATGATGAGAAACGATAGGAGGTGTTATTTTTATTCTACTTTCTCTCCAAAGGGCAAGTGGACATTGCAACGGAGGCCACGTTCCAACAGATGAAACGAGGGAGGGCATCCACGGGGCAACAAGGGAGGGTATAGGACCACGCCATATGCCCCCCTCTCTCTCTCTCTCTCTCTCAACCCATCCCACCTCACGGGGCTGCCATGGTGGGGAAAATAGGAGCAGGAAGGAGCATGGGGTGTGTTTCTTTGTCACCTTGAGTTGTTTATAAAAATAATGGTGGGCTATAAATATTCATGCAAATGATGGTATTTATGGGCTGTGATTGCATCAGCTGGAGGTAATAATGGCAACTGTATGAATATGTCCTTGTGTCCCAGGGAGAACGAATACATGGGTGCCCGACTGATGACCATTTGAGTGTTCGACGTTATGACGGTCCTGAAAAAAGTGACTTAGGGCTGGTCCTCGCGCTTATGACCTTCACGGCGTCCCCATCAAAGAATGATCAAGAGAAGGAGAGGGAGGGAGAGAGGAAGAGTAAGAGGGGGCAGAGAGAGAGAGAGGGAGGAAGGAGGGGAGAGAGGGAAGGAAGAGAGAGAGAGAGACAGATACAGAGAAGGAAAGGGGGGAGAAAGAGAGATAGAAGGAAAGGGGGGAGAGAGAGAAGGAAGAGAGAGAGGAGGAGAGGGAAAGATAAAGAGAGGGAGGGAGAGGGATGGAAGGAGAGGGAGAGAGGGGGAGAGGGAGAAAGAGAAAGAGAGAGGAGAAAGTGACAGGAGAGGGAGAGAGAGAGGAGGAGGAGAAGAAGAGAGGAGTGAGGGAGGGGGAGAGAGAGGGGGAAGGAGAGAGAAGGAGAGAGCCGGGGAGGGAGAACTCTCATCTAGACAGTTATGTCTCCAGGCTCCCTTGGGGAGATTAGCGCATCATCTTTCCAGTATAGATTCAATAATGGATCGAAACGGATGGCTCTCCTGGAATGAGGAGGTCCCGGCAGAGCCACCAAAAGCGTTAACAGCCTTACCGTATTTATTTTTCAGGCTCGGCTCGGCTGCCTTTAAAGAAAGCAAGAAGGCCAATTTCTGCGCACAGCTGGGCTGGGTTATGCACACCCGGATATGCACAGGAAACCTCCATAACAATGTGCATTGTTCACCGGCAGATGGGCTGCACACTATTTTCCACGAGGAGAATTATGCTCCCATTCTTGACGGGTGTTTGCGTTACACTCGGGAACACAATGCAGGGGCCTCGGATCATTTTCTGCCCCTCTGCTTGCTTTATTTTACAGATACGCCCACCGCCACAGATGCTCTTTTGCACAGTTCAGGACTCCTAGTGAAACACGTAACCTCATAACCTGTGTTTCTGTGGCTAAGTGAGGTGGTTGCTAAGGGAGTTTTTGCCCCATGTTAACCATCTTTCTGGCTATGAGCCATTAAGCGAATCGCTGCAGAGGTGAAAGTTAGTAACACGGTTGTTAAGTGAATCTGGCTTCCCCCTTGACATGGCTGGTCAGGTGGTTGCAAAAGGTGATCACGTGACTTCAGGACACTTCAACCGTCATAACTATGAGTCAGTTGCCAGTTTTGATCTCAGTGACCCTGGAGACGCTGCAATGGCTGTTAAGTGTGAAAAATGGACGTAAGTCACCTTTTTTTCAATGCCATTGTAACTTCGGCCACTAACCAAACTCTTGTAAGGCAGTCCAGAAAAACAACAAAGAAGTTTAAAAGATGGAAATGAAGGCTTGATAAGGTTAATGTTCTGACCAAGAAACCAGGAACTAGGATTGTTCAAACGAATGCAGGTTTACGGCATGCTAGCTCTGCTCTCTACAAGAATCTGAACTACTAACGGTCAAGGCAAATTGGCGGCAGATGACGGTCAATGGAATTCAAATTGGGTTGGGCTTAGAACTCTTGTGGGTGTGAAAGGACTCCGAACTGATGATGCATTTCACTCAGTAGTGGGATTCAAATTTTTGGACTACCGGTTCTGTGGGCGTGGCTTGGTGGGCGTGGCAGGGGAGGATATACTGCAAAATCCCCATTCCTTCCCCACCCCACTAACCTGCTTTCCAGCTCTGTTCTCCTGTGCAGGGCAACCAAAGAAGACCCAGCCGATCAGCTGGGACTCGATGGGAGGCAGAGGAGAGATGGGGTTGGCGGGGCCCGTCAGAGGCGGGATTGGCCGGTTCTCAGAACTGCTCAAAATTTCCACTCCCGGTTCTCCAGAACTGGTCAGAACCTGCTGAATTCACCACCTCTGATTTGACCCCTCCCCTGGGTCCTGCCTGGCCATAATAGAACAACAGAAGGTTGGAAGGGGACCATGGAGGCCTTCTAGTCTACCTCCTATAAAAACCATCAAGGTGGCTTTGCGATTCTGGAAGGTCACACATCCTTCTGAGAACGATTTTGGACTCACCTCAAAACATCTTTGCTTCTTGGCTTCGTGCAAGAGTTCTACCATGCCGGGAAGAAGCACTGGGAAAATGTAGCATTCCAAGAATTCCCTGGGCGTACCTGGACAGATCAATGTTTGCTTTTACAACCATGTAAATATTAAGTCTGTTCCATTTACATATCATATAACAAGCTCTCTGGTTCACGGTCCCATTTCTTCCCTCCCTAGTCGCTACACTTAATTCTTTTAACTTTCTCCTCTCGTCCGTTGTAAGCCACCCAGAGTCACCTAGGTGCGAGTTGGGGGGGGGGGAGCTCTATAGATTTATTAAATAATTGAACAAATAATTACATTTTTTTTCTATTCCCTCCTTCCATCTTCCACCCAGCTAGGCCTTTCGACAACCACCCACCTCACAGGGTGCAGGGAAAATAGGAGCATTATGTACCTTCGCTGCCTTGAGTTATTTGTAAAACTTAGATAGGTGGGATTAAAATCTAATCAATAAATACAGTTAGTTTTTTGACGTTACAGATAAGCTCTTGATGTACAATCTCAACTGAGCCCAACATTTCTGTTGCTTAAGTGAGGCAGTTGTTAAGTGAGTTTTGCCCCATTTCACGGCCTTTCATTCCACAGTTGTTAAGTGAATCAATGCAGTTGTTAAGTTAGAAACCCAGTTGTTAAGTGAATCTGGCTACCGCCCCATTGCCTTTGCTTGTCAGAAGGGGGATCTTGGGACCCAGGGGCCCTGCGACCGTCATAAATATGAGTCGGTGGCCAAGCGCCCGAATTTTGATCACTTGAGCGTGGGGGAACGGCAGTGGTTGTAAGTGAGAAAACTGATCATAAGTCCCTTTTTAGTGCCGTTGGAACTTTGAACCGTAAGTCGAGGACTACCCGTGAACGTGTTTTTGTCCGTTTTTTCTTTCTGCATCTCTGTTTGAAAACTTGCAGTAAAAATAGCTGAACGTGGGCAAACCAACCCCGACTCCACAGACTGCAACGAGGAAACGGGCAGAAATCGAGGTTAAGACTGGTTGTCCCTTCCTTTCCCTCGCTTCCTCTTCAAAAGGAGTCCCTCATAAAGAAAGAGGAGCTTGCACAAGGACAGCGGCGTACATGTTTTTAAGTCGGGGGGTTCAGGAGCTATCAGCGCAGAAAGAAGAGACAGGGTCTTCTGGGGCAGCGCTTCCTCCGTAATCACAGGCTTGCTCTCAGCTCCACTCAGCTCCGGCAGCTCTGGCAGTGGCCCAGCAGCAGTGGGAACCTGCTGAACACCAAAAACAAAGAGATAAATGCCTGTCTTCAATGTAAATAAACACCAGGAAGAACAAAATGAAGGTTTGATTCTGAACCTACTCTGGAGGAGGAGGAGGAGGGGAGGGGGAGGAAGGGGAGGAGGACTGCGACTATGGAGTCCTTGGTGCTCTTTGAGCTTGGTGGCTTTCTTGCAGATGTTTCTTGACCCAACTAGGTAACATCTTCAGTGCTAGTGAGCATAGTGGGGTTTGCTCTCTATTTATGTACAGTGGCTTCCCTATCAGTATTAGTGGGAGAGTTGTTTTCTTCTTGTTGGTTCTTTGATTAGGTTGTTGCTTATTACTTTGTTAACCTTGATTAGTTTACTTACTTTAGCAAAGCACCGCCTCGCCAGCAATCAACACGCAAATAAGCAGAGGTTAATACCAAGATTAACACTAGACCGACAATATAGCAGTAAACAACATCCCAATCAAAGAACTACCAAAAAAAAAACACCTTCCACCAACACCGACAGGGTAAGCCACTTGTATGTGAACAGAGATCAAACCCCACTACCTTCTAGCACTGATGATGTTATCTAGTTGGGTCATGAAATGTCTGCAAGAAAACAACCAAGCTCAGAGAGCACCAAGGGCCCCACAATAATTCTTTAAATGATGATTTCTCCGTCTGGATACCCTCCACAAAATGCGGGGTGTGTTTTAACTCCCAGGAATCTCCGGCCACCTTGGGAAATTCTGGGGGATGAAACTGTACGTCTGGAGTGTGCCTTGGGGAAGTTGATCTAAAGGGTTAGAAATGTATCTTCCTGGATTGAGTGCTTAGGTTTCTTGGTTTGATCCAGGCATTAGCCAAACTTCCAAGATCAGGAATTTATAGAGCACGTGTTTAAAGAGTCACATATAAGCTTCATTATGGGAGGAAAACAATAATTAAATGATCATTAGGGAAAAGAGTTCTTAATAATAAGGATTCTGGTATTTTTAATTTTTTTTTAGATAATGGGGGGAAAAGGGGAATACAGAACTTAGGGGCGACTCGCAGTTTTTCTGATTAAGACCAGAATCTGAAATATGTAAGGACACATAGAAAACCAGAGCCGAGTGTAGCTCAAGAGGGCTGATTCGTAAGGACGAAGCTGGCTGCAGTGAACCGAGCCTGTCAGTTCATATTAAGACATATAATGTACAAGCTGCAAAATGAGATTTGCTACATAGGGGAGGGCTGGCCCTTCATGGCAGACAGGCATGCAAAAATAACTAAATTCAGCTTCTGGCATCTCCAGGCAAAGCTGGAGGAAAATCATGGGGTGGGGTTGACAAGACTGAGCTGAATAGCTCAGAAGCTCAGCACAAACCCCGACAGGCAATTTGGATTTGGAAACACACCACAAGCCAGGATTCCCAATTTGGATTACATGCTACCATGCACCTGACCTCTTTAACAGACCTTTGGTGTCCATTCTTGCCTAAGACTTGTGGACTTCAATTCCCAGAATTCCCCAGCCATTATCACATCTCGCTTGTACAACAGCCTCTTTTTTCCCCACTTTGAAATTGAAATACCTCAAATACCGTAATCTTTCACAAGGTTCTATGCACAAGGGCTGTGTATCTATAATAACAATCTTTTGGCAATGTTGTATGGGAATATTTATCTTCTTGGTTTTTTTAAAGAGCATAAAAGAGTTCCAGAATTTTTTTTTTAAAGACATGGAAGAGAGCCACTATCTGGATTTTTCTTTTTACCTGTAAGGCAGGTGGAGGTACCTCTTTCTTTTCCAAGTGATCCGGATGAACAGGCTGTTGGGCTTCAAATTCTGTTGTTTGTTTGTTTTCAAGAAAACAAAAGAGAAAATGAAAGGGACAAAGAGAAAAGGCAAAGAAATTAACTCACGGAATCCTATTTGGAGGATTAAAGATCAAGATTTTTAATTTGTTGCCATTTCTGGAAGCCCTTAAAGGATTTTTTTGGCTAAATTGGAATGCCCTGGCTTTGAAGATTTGTTTATAGAGATAAGATAGGGAAATTTTTTTTTCCTGGTTGTCCTTTTAAAGAAAATGATGTTGCTATGTTAAAAGGAAAACCAAAGAATACAGAAACTGATTATTAAGAGCCGCAGCGGCACAGTGGTTAGAATGCAGTACTGCAGGCTACTTCTGCTGCCTGCCTGCAATTTGGCAGTTCGAATCTCACCAGGCTCAAGGTTGACTCAGCCTTCCATCCTTCTGAGGTGGATAAAATGAAGACCCAGATTGTTGGGGGACAATAGGCTGACTCTGTAAACTGCTTAGAGAGTGCAAAGCACTGTGAAGCGGTACCGCTATTGCCAAGTGCTATTATTCAATGAAGGCTAAAATACATGCTATTCCTGGTAACTCAAGACTGACTCCAAGGCACTAATCAAATCTAATCCGGTCTGGTGTATAGTCTTGGCACGGGCATCCACACACACTAATGCAATATTTTTCAAACTTGGCTAACTGGAGGACCTGTGGACTTGAAAAGTTCCCGCATGCCTTCCAGTGGCCAAGTTGGAGAAACACCCCACTAAACAGAAATCAGAAGTTGTGGGAGCTTCGTCCCGGGAAGCTTTCCAGAAGATACTGGACTGCCATCTGTCAGAAACAGTGTAGGTAGGGTCTCCTGCTTGGAGGGAGGGCGGGTTGGACTAGATGACCTACAAGGTCCCTTCCAGTTCTGTTCATCTGTGCAAACCAAAGCTGAAAGTAACCAAGGCTGTCCCATTCATTCCCTTCGGGGGGTGGGGTGGGGTGGGGTGTCTTTCCAATAAAAGCTAAGTGTGCGCGGACCTCTATTTCTGCTCCCCAGTCATGCTTGTCCTCCCCAAGGAGAAGCACGCCTGTTTGCACATACACACACACGCACACCCTTTGGGGGTGCAAACTGGGCTCTTCAAAGCTTTGCACGCTCAGCAAAGCCCTGCGAACTTTCCAAGCTCTCTCTGCCGCCACCTGCTGGCCGCCCACAACTCTGCAAGCCAGCATCCCTGAGTCAAAAGACTCCCCCATTAAGGATTTGGGGATACTTTCCCCACACACACACACATACACGAGCCAACCTGTCCCCCCCCCCGCCGGGAACCCCTCCCCGGTTAACGACTTCATTCTCCGCCTCTCCCCACCTGCGCAAATTTCCTCCCAGAGGCTCCGCACCGGAGCCTCCTCAGCGGCGGCGGGAGAAGCCATGGAAGGGCCCCGAGCGAGGGAGCCGTTGCTAGGCGACGGCAAGCCGCGTCTCTAAGGCGACGGTGCTCCCGCCGCTTTTTCACTTCCGGGTCGAGCCGGGAAGCGTTGCTCTACCCCTCATTCTCTCTCTCTCTCTCTCTCTCTCTCTCCTCCCCCTCCCCTCCCCACCGGCGGGAGAGGAAGTGCCCGATGTCCCGCGTGGTGAGGGGCGAGCGAGGTGAGCAGGGAGGGGGTGGTTGGGTTCTCCCTTGGGTGGGCTGCGTGGGAGCCAGGTTGGGGAAAGGTTCCCCGGGTATTTCAGTCCGGGTCTTAGCAGGAATGGGGGCTTTGGGGGGGGGGGGTCTGGCAAGGGGATCATTGGTGGTGGTGGGAGTGCCTCGGGGCTTGTGCAGAGCGCCTTTGGACTGGAAACCGATGCAGCCACCGGTGCAATTTGCGGGGACAGCTGTGCAGCCCCTTCCACGAATGCAATCTCTGCAATGGGTGTATTTTTGCAACAGCGTTTTCTGGGGCGGGCTGGAAACCGGGAGACGGTGAGTTCTAGTCCCATCTTAGGTGTGGAAACTGGCCGGGTGACTTTGGGGCAATCGCCAGGAGATTGCGAGTTCTAGTGCCACCTTGGGCATGAAAGCCAGCTGGATGACTATGGGCCGATAACCAGGAGATGGTGAACTGTAATTCTGCTTTAGGTGTGAAAGCCAGCTAGGTGACTATGGGCCAATCACTAGGAGATGGTGAGTTCTAGTGCCACCTTGGACGTGAAAGCCAGCTGGGTGACTTTGGGCCAATCACTAGGTGGTGGTGAGTTCTAGTGCTGTCTTAGTCATGGAAGCCAGTTAGATGACTTTGGGCCAATCACCAGGTGAGTTCTAGTTCCCCCTAGGCATAAAAGCCATCTGGGTACCAACCACTAGAAGACGGTGAGTTGTAGTGCTGCCTTAGGCGTGGAGGCCAGCTGGATGATCTTAGGCCAGTCCCTCCCTCTCAGCCCAACCTACCTCATAGGGTTGTTCTTGTGAGAATAGGAAGAGGAAGGAATATTAGGTATGTTGTTGGCAACTGGCATGTATTTATGACTGCTGCAGTGTCCCGGGGCCATGGGATCGCCCAGCCACCTTCAAAGCCAATGTGGGAAGCCAGATTTGCTCAACAACTGCAGTAATTTGCTTAGCTGGCAAAAAAGGGTCATTAAAGTGGACACAACTCTCTTCTCAACTGTCTTGATTAGCAACAGAAATTTTGGGCTCCATTGTTGTAAGTTGAGGACTGCCTGTAGCTTGAAAAGAAATTGGCCTTGTTTAGTATTCGGTTACAAATAATTGCCCTTGCATATGTGTTGTGATAAATGTATGCTACTTAATAAGCTGAGGTCTGTTCGCCATTTGTAATAAATTCTGTAATTTAAAACCTCTTTCTTTTGTGAATTTTTGTGCCCACTTCCAGAGAAGTTCTCCGAAATATGAAGAATTCTGAGCAAACAGCAAGGAAAAGGAACAAAGCTGAAGATCCTAATTGCGGCCAGGTTATTATAATTGAAAGCCCCAAAAGACACTGTTCAGGTTTAGGCAAAAAAGCCAAGCCCCCAAAATTAAAATGTTTGGTAAAAGAAACGAATTCAGATTTGCCAGATCCAAAGAAGAAACAGAGTGACTCTGAATCAAAGAAGGAAGCACGGGCAAGCTCTCCCGTGGTTATAGAAAGCAGCTCAGATTTAGAATTAAGAGACACCAAGAAAAGAAACAAGGTGTTGAAAAAAAAGAAAGACCGAAAGCTTTTTTGTATACAAATCCAAAACTCCGATGGTTTGGATGAAGGGCAGCCTGGTACTGATTTTCATGTGAGTAAGAAAGGCGAAAAGGCTGTTCTTGAAGTTGGCAGGCAAGATGAAGAATCGGTGATGAAAAGGAAAAAGAAGAAAAAGGAAAAACGAAAAGACAAACCTGCTTGCCTTGAGCTTTTACACAGTGGTGACAGTGAAGAGGACGTGAAGCAGATCTCTGCAGAACTGAAACCCGGTTGCCAAGAAATGCCCTCCGGTCAGAAAAAGAGTAGGACCCTTGAGCAGAAAGTTGTGGGTGACGAAGTCGAGAAGAAATACTTTGAGTACTACAAAAAATACCTCGAGAACATTTCAAAAAAAGACATTGCCAGCTACAAGTGCGAAGATGCCCAAAGTAGGGATGGACCTATGCAACGACGGAACGATTTGGCCCGTAGATCAGAAGAAGATAGTGAAGCCATCCAGAAGAAGAAAAAGAAGAAGAAGAAGCTGAATAAAATAAGTCCTGCTTCTCTTTCCTGCTTAGCCAAGATCCAGGAAAACCACTGCAATATGATGAGTGAATATAGTCTAAAATGCGGATCCGAGAAAAGTGCAGGGCTTGGCAAGGCTAATAAGGCTGCAAAGAAGAAGGCCAAGAGACAAACCGGAGATGCAAGCCGTTTTTCAGAAGCTGGCCAAGACATCTCGTCGAAGGTGGGAGCGCCAGGTGGAAAGAGAAAGAAAGCAAAGAAACACAAAGTGAAACGAGATGACCAGGATGGATTTGAGGGCAGCCAAGAACGGCAGGTCAAGAAAAAGAGGAAAAACAAGGAAATTGAAAACTCTTGGGATGGAGGGAAGAAAGCAAAGATGAAACCGGAAACTAAGGTATACTTGGAGAGGGCTGGTAGTTGGTTTTTTTTTTTTAATTTATGGGCTAGATCTGAACGAAACTGGCACTTTGGTAATTTCAGTGGGACTAAACTAAAGCAGGACTTAAAATAGTAGTTAATAGTGCAGCTAGTCCTCCACTTACAAACCGTTCATTTCATGCCTGTGCAGTAAAACAATGGCTTAGAAAAATAGTGATTTGCACCTAACTGGTCCTCACGCTTAGGATCCTTGCAGCATCCTTGTGGTCACGTGATCAAAATTCAGGCAATGTTTATGGCATGCATCATCCTTGGGATCACATGATCACCAACTGCAAGCTGCTCAGCTGGCCTCCCAACAAGCTACCTCAACAGGGGAAGCTGGGTTTGGTTTCGTGACGGCAGGATTCACTTCAAAGATGTGGATCTTATTTATTACATTTATTCGCTTGGCTCTGAAGGGGAAGACACTCTGTAAATACCTGCAGGGATGTTCATATAAAAGACAACCTGATATGTTATCACCCCAAACCAGAGGAGAAAGAATCGCAGATTTAAATTGCAGACAGGTGGATTCCTGTTGAACTGCTGAGATCAGTTAGACCAGGGGTGTCCAACCTTGGCAACTTTAAGACTTGTGGAGCTTTGCTGGCTGAGGAATTCTGGGAGTTGAAGTCCACAAGTCTTAAAGTTGCCAAGGTTGGACACCCCTGAGTTAGTCAAATCGTGGGCTTCTCTTCTTAAGATACTTGATCTATTTCTTTGGGCCTTTCAACCCCACAACGTTATGAATATCTCGGAAAAGGAAATTCTTCCATGAAACTGCCACCCTGTAGCCTCTGTAGGAGGACCTACATTTTGTAGGAGGACCTACAATGTAGCCTCTGTAGGAGGACCTACAATTCCAGCTGCGAAGCGCCCTGATCTCCGGCCCTTTGCTTTGACCATTGGTTCTTTGAGTCCCTGTGGGAAGGAAAAAAAATGGACCTTGGACTTCTGGACCTCAAATTTTGTTCAAGTCATTCAAAAGACAATGGGGTTTTTTTAGGGGGCGGGGAATTTCCTTTAATAAGAGGATAACCAACCAATGCCCAGCCCCTCCTCAAGTCTTGCTTGTTGTCCTTGGACCCCCCACCCTCCTCGGGCCACGTGTGCAGGTTGTAATGTAGGGCTGGGGTTAAGCTTGAAGTGGTTTTCCTTTTTTTTAAAAAAAAAAGCACAAACACTAAAATAACAGACAAAGAAAAATAAACACAGTGAGTAACATGCAGGCAGGAGACACTTTGCGGTACATTCCTGGTCATGAAATCAGAAGCCTCTCCAGTCATGGTTGGAAGGTAGCTTTTGTTCTCCCCCTCACCCAGCATAGCTGGCTGGAGAATTCTGGGAGTTGAAGTCCACAAGTCTTAAACTTGCCAAGTTTGAAGACCCCCTGTCGTAGAGCAAGGGAAACCTTGAATAATGGTCTGAGGGAATGGCCTTGGAGAGAGGAGGGAGAGCCTTAGACTGGATAACCAGCATTGCATGGCTGGAGAATTCTGGGAGTTGAAGTCCACAAGTCTTAAAATTGCCAAGTTTGGGGACCTCTGCCCTAACCCAAAGATCATTGATTTTTTTTTTCTTTAGAAATTTATATTTATTTATTTATTGAATTTATATTGCCGCCTACTCGCCCATGGCGACTCGAGGTGGTTTACAGAATATAAAACCACATTTAAAACAATTAAAAACGAACCAAAGGAATCACATAAAGTACAATATAACAAAATCACCTCCCAACTCTCATCCCACCCACCCCCCACCCCGCCGACAGCAGATCTCACGAGTCAAATTCCTTTACTTTCAATACCTGGCTTTTTTTTAAAAAAAGAAAGAAAAATCCAGTCTTTTATCCACTGCAATTCTGGCACAGAAACAATCATCTTTGCCATCTCGGAAACCTTGGCGGTTTGAGAAAGCTGTACGGTGGGGGGGGGGGGACCCCAACAGGTAATATTTTGCTAGCCTAACCCTTTCAAGGGGGAACTCCAGATTTCTGATTGTTTAAGTGAAGCGAAGGCTCTCGGTTAAATCGTATAATATAATCGTATAAAGAAAAGTGGAATCCTTCAAGTCTGCGTTCCAGCTTCCCATGTGGTCTCGAAAAGAGGCTGGGGGGAAATAATCGTTGCATAGTTTTGAGTGGCTGTGAATGCCAAGAGAAAAAGAAAAGAAAAGAAAAAAAAAATGTAAAGCAAAAGAGCTTAAATCAGGAGTGTCCAAACTTTGAGGACTTTTAAGACTTGCGGATTTCAACTCCCAGAATTCCCCAGTCAGCATTGGGGACTTCTGGGAGTTGAAATCCGCAAGTCTTAAAAGTTGCCAAGGTTGAAATGCTCCCCATTTAAAGATTGCCTGGTTGATTGGGATGAGTTGATTGATCAATCTTTTGAGATAATAACTGCATCTGGCTGTAATAGAAGCCAGCATTCCCAGGACTGAATCTCAGCCCGGTTATCAACAAGAGCGTCCCATCCTTTGCGCTGAATTCCCCCGAGTGTTGCAGATCATCATCTTAATACTTCCAAGCTATTTCACGCTCAGGTTGGCATTTCAAATGCCTCCAGAAATGTACTCTGAGCAACCTTTTCATTTAGAAGGCTGAAAAGCTTCGGTCCAGTTTATTTTTATCTGCGCTGTCCAAGCAAGGCTTCTGTGATGGCTATGATATCTCTTGGCCTTTGATTGCTCTGCACATCTCTTAGACTCCGGGAAATTTAATAGAAAGAGGAAGAGAATTGACTGCCAAATGTTATCCTCTTGTCCTTTTTTAGCCTGGCAGCCTAGTTATGGTTCCAAAATGACTGGAATTCAGGAGCTGCTTAAGAGTAGGACAGCCCAATCAGGGTTTGCATCCCGTTTAGCAGGGTGCATGGGAAATGTAGCAGGACACGAGATTGGGGAGAATTACAACAAGGGTTTTTTGTTGTTTTTTTTTTAACCCTGCTATACCTAACCCTGAAGCATTGTGTCTTTATTTATTTATTTAATTTTATTTAAAGAAACAGGTCACAGCCGATGAAATAAAATTGGTGGCATTCAGAAAAGGAAACTGTGATGAAGTGAACATAGACAAGGTACAATCATTTCTTTATCTTGTGGCTGGGTTGGAATATTGTCAAGATGAGGGCTGGTTTTGATGCAAAGGAGAGAGAGACAGGATGGCCATCAGCCCCTTGTCTGGCCTCTCTGGATGTCCAGTGCTTGAGCCATGTTGGATTTTTGTATGGAAGGGGATTTGGGGAAATGCTACAGGAGGTGCAGTATGGAAGTCCACAAGCCTCAAAAGGGAAGCCAATAAAAAAAAAAACCCAGTCCTTTTCCTCTCCTCCCCTTTCCATTCCTCTCCTTTTTTCTTTCCTTTTTCCTCTCCTTTTTTCCCCTTTCCTTTTCTCCTTTCTCTCACCTATTTAGAACCAGCTAGGTTCATTAGAGTAATCATCCATACAATTGTATGTAAACAAGTACTCTCAATCTACTCTAACCTCTTTTACTGAGAAAATTCTATTTGGCCTGTGATTGCAGGCACCAGGGAATCAGGGCACTGGAGAATTTGAGCACCTCTGCGTGAAGCGATTGTGTGGTTTGCTTGGGTGTGTTTCCACATGTGCTGTTTCAATCCTCAGAGGGGTAGTCTGTTATACCAGTGCAGCTTTCCTTAGCTTTGTCTTCACGGAGATCCCGCAATAGTGTCTGTGTGTGACGTGCTTGTATTGCATGGAGGTAAAAGAATATTTAAAAGTAAGTCCTTTATTTTGGATCAAAAAGAAATATTCCTGAAGCTGCGTTTCTCAATCTTGCCGTGGACTTCCCCTCCCAGAATTCCCCAGCCAGCAAAAGCAGAGCAAAGCAAAGGTGGCTGGGGAATTCTGGGAGTTGAAAATCCACACCTCTTCAACTTACCAAGGTGGACAAACATTGCCCTAAAGAAACCTGGTCGTCACTCGTCTTTACTCAAGGTTTACTCAGTGGATTTACTCAAACCCATCCTTTCTTGCTTCAGGTGAGACGGCAAGAACTTCAAGAAGAGATCGACCGGGAATCTGGCAAAACCAAGATTGCCAAGGACGGATCGGTAAGCAAACTTCTTTTGTCTCTAGCCAGTTTCACTCGAGCTGTTGAGCAACGCTGCCGGCTTAACACGCTAGTCACGTCTCTGACTGGATCCACCAATCACTCCTTTGACTGAGAACCTGAGGTCATGTCACAGGGCCAATTAGCTGAACCCCTAGAGACTCTGGGAGCAGATCAGTAGCGCCTGACCTCTGGCAAATTGTAATTCTCATCTTTGATCCCGAAAAGGGGCAGTTCCCCTCCCCCCCTTCCCTCTATTTCCTTTGGAAGAATTAGTTGTGACATCTTTGTGAAAAAGGGAGAGAAAGAAGAGAGAAAAAGAGGGAGAGAGGGAGAAAGGGAGGGGGAGGAGGGAGAAAGAAAGGGAGAGAGAGGGAGAGGGGGAGAGAGAAAGAGAAGGAGAGAGAAAAAGGGAGGGAGAGAGGGAGAAAGGGAGGGGGAGGGGGGAGAAAGAGGGAGAGAAAGAAGAGAGGGAGAGAAAGGGAGACAGAAAGAGGAGAGAGAGAGGAAGAGAAAGAAAGGGAGAGGGGGGAGAGAAAGAGAGGGAGAGAGAAGGGGAGAGAGACGGGGAGGGGGAGAGAAAAAGAGAAAGAGAGAGAAAGAGGGAGGATGGGGGGAGAGGGAGGGAGAGTGCGAGAGAAAGACCGGGACTCTGGGATACCACTGGTGTGTTGACTGTTGCTGAAAGTCTACATCTTCTTCAATTTTAGAGAGAGTTAAGCCGCAGAGAGCCTGCTAAAGCTTTCTCCCTTGTTCTTCAGGATCATTGTTTGGGCCAGTGGAGCACAGCAACATTTGAAAGTCTGGAGCAAAAGACCAAATTTCACAGACTGATGGGTGGGCTTAAAAAAGGCTTCGTCCCAACTCAGAGTTCAGCTCCAGCCAACGCTAACAAACCAAACCTGGCTCTGGACCGGCCCAGAGAGCAAGAACTGCAACATAACCTAGAAGCAGAATTCAAGAAAGCCATGGAGTTTAAGCACCATCGCGGAATCGGCTTGGGGTTCCAGTCCAGTGCTCCCAGTGGTGCGCACATAGACAAATACGCTTCCAGATCTATTAAGTTTGAAGTCTGAGGAAGGGAAGGCTAAATTGCCCCAACCAGATGGGTTATAATTATTTTTTTTTAAATCTACAACAAGAAAATAGATATGATTGATATATGCCTGATGAGCCATGATTGACTTGATTTAGGATGGGTAACTGTGCTACGGTCGTTTAACAGTATATAATTAAATAAGTGGCAGGTAAGAATAGAACATATTTTAAATCCGAGGCAGGTGACCTGTGGTTTTGCCTGCAGTCTCAATTTTTGCTGCGAGTTTCCATACTGTGCCACTGAATCTTGGGAGCAGACAGTTTGTCTGTTCAACACCTGGGCAAATGACTACATTAAATTTACAGTCCTGGCCTCAGTGTTGTGCTCTTCTGTCATACAGTGATTGTGTGTCCAGGGGGGAAAAAAGCCATCTTGTTTATTTCAATGTTACATCCAATTTTATTAAAAGTTTGTTTCTACAATTCATCGGTCTCAAGTGGTATCTCAAGGTAAATATATGTATCTACAAGGGAGATTATAATCTTCATGGCTGGCCAAGAGGCATCTCTGCACCTCTTTGCTAATCCAGGACATATTTGTATAGCTCAGAGTTGAACCTGGAGTCCCTGGTGGTCTCTGAGCTTTGTCTTCTTGATGACATTTCATGACCCAATTAGGTAACATCATCACTGCTAGAAGGCGAGTAGGGTTTGCTCTCTGCTTACACAGAAGTGGTTTGGGCAATCAAGAAACTATCTATGCAGATAATCAAATAGCAAACAGCCTAATCAAGGAACGACTAAGAAGGCGGCCACGTTCCCACCAACGCTGACAGGATAAGCCACCCGTATAAAAATTCCCTTCTAGCACTGATGATATTACCTAGTTGGGTAATGAAACCCCTGTAAGTGAACAAGCAAGCTGGGAGCACCAAGGGTTTCCTTTATTCTCCCTGACCTCATTTATTCTCCTTTTCTTCTGTCTCACCCCCTCTCCCCTCACGTTGTATGACCTCACCTTTTCCTTTCAGACCTTCCTCAAATCCAGCCTTAACATTGATACAAAATCAAGCTGAGATTAAGGCTGCTTATTTTGAACGCTGACTTCTGCAGTTTGGAATTCCTTCGTTTTTGCTTTGTAGGCCAGCGCTGTACCAACACGCATATTTTTTCTAAAACGCTGCTCCCCTATTCTTGAAGGATTACATCATCTAGCAATTTAAAAGCAAAACCTCTTCCACTCACTCCCTGGCAATTATAAATTAAAAAGCAGATGAAGACTGCATCATAGGAACATAAAATAGCCAGCTAAGGACTACTTGCAAAGATTAATACTGAATATAAATGCCTCCTATCCTTACGAGATTTTTTTTTAAATGCATTTTGAAGGAAATGCATTGTGAATTAACTGATCTGTGCTGCAAACACAATTATTTTCACTACCTAACAGGATAAAGAGTTGGAACGGACTTGAGAGGTCTTCTAATCCAACCTCATGCGCAAGCAGGAAATCCCTTCTTTAAAACCTCCAGTGTTGGAGTATTCACAACTTCTCACAATTATCCCAGTTGTTCCAACTGTCAGGAAATTTCTCCTTCGTTCTAGATTGATTCTTTCTATTTTACTGCTTCTTGTCTCCCGCCTTCTGGTGCTTAGGTTGACCCCTTCTTCCTTGTGGCAGCCCCTGCTATCATGCCTCCCCTAGTCCTTCTTTTGATTAAACTAAACATAATGTTTGGGATATACTTTGCAGGGGCTTTCCCAAAAGGTTAACGTTTTCCCAATTGTGCTTTCTTGACTAGATGATTTCAAAGCATATATTTTAAAGGTGTCAAATAACTCTAGTTTATCCCTTTTCTAAAGCTAGTAAGTACTGCCTTTCTCTTTCGCCTTGCCAACCCAAATCATCTTTCTTTCCTTTGCAAGTCCGCCAAATTTGAATTTAAAAGTTATTTTTTCCACTCCGTGATGATTAAGATAATATTTCACTAACCCAACATTAACATTAAAGTCAACGTTTAATGATGAACAGCTGTGTAGCGGGGAAACAAAACCATTTTTTTTTTTTTACCAAAATGACTGCATCACCAGGAAAATTTACCTTCTCTTCTCCAACCGAGTAAATCTATCGTGCGCCAAGGGACCTTTTAAAGGGAAAAGATACCAAACTCTGATCACATCCTGTGAGGCAGCTTGCGAGTTTAAAGGGCTTGGAGAACTACCTTTCCAGGGATGTAATTGCCCAGTTCGACACCCATTTAAGTTCTTGACTGCAAAGGGAGCCGTAGCAGCAGCTCTGTAAAGTGGCTGAATTCAGGGTGTTTACTCTGCAGCTTGATGTATTCCAAGGTTTTGACCTAGAAAAGGAAACAGGGAGGAAAAGCATCGTGAAAGTTGAAGTTGTTATGCATCTCTGCCTCATCCCTCCTCCTAAAGGGTGTTTTTAAGGTCCAGTGATTCAGGCATGAATTTATTGTGTCAAATTAAGGGCTGTAGGTGAACTAAAGAGAGGTTGTGGTAGCAACTGCACTTAAACTTATATACCGCTTCCCTGTGCTTTACACAGCTTTCTCTAAGCGGTTTACAGAGTCAGCCTCTTGCCCCCAACAATCTGGGTCCTCATTTTACCCACCTCGGAAGAATAGAAAGTGGAATCAACTTCAGGATCGAGCTTCTGGCAGTGGGCAGAGTCAGCCTGCAATACTGCATTCTGACCACTGCGCCACCACGGCTCTTTCCTCATCAACACACCCACACCCACACCAGGCCTTTATTCCATCTTACTGTGGTTTTGGTGTCCGCAAAGCCATGTTTCTGAGCCAGGTTCCACAGGTTGACGGCCAACTGGTTGAGTTTGTTGTTCCGCAGATCGGCGTGAGCCAAGAGGCTATTGAAGAAGCAGAGGGCCAGGTGACTTTGACGCTTTAGAGTCTGCCGATGATAAGAAAAGGGTCCGTTTAAGGGGCGGCTAAGCAGTACAGGTAGTCCTTGATTTACAAACAATGAGTGGCCAAAGTTACAGCGGCGCTGAAAAGTGACAAACGACAGATCTTCACACTTAAAGAGGACTGGCAGCTTCCTCACAATCACGTGATCAACATTCAGGCATTTTGCAACCTTGCCTGTATTTATAACAGTTGCAGCATTCCAGGTTCACTGTTTGCAATGTTCCCAGCTGGCTTCCGACAAATAACATCGATAGGTGAATTCAAACAGAATAGAGCTGGAAGGGACCTTGGAGGTCTTCTAGTCCAGCCCCCTGCTCAAGTTGGAGACTATATTATTTCAGACGACTGTCCAGTCTCTTCTTAAAAACCACCCACCCACCACTTCTGGAGGCAAGCTCTTCCACTGGTTTCTCCTTAATTCCAGGTTGCTTCTCTCCTTGATTAGTTTCCATCCATTGTTTCTTGTCCTGCCTTCTGGGGCTTTGGAGAATAATTTAAGCCCCTCTTCTTTGTGGCAGCCCCTCAGATACTGCTGTCATGTTAAGCATATCATATTAAGCCAGATTTGCTTAGGGACCACAGGATTTACTTAACATAGTGGTTTGCTCAGCAACCATTGGCAAAAGTGGTCAGATCAGGGGAGCCTTGCCTAGCAGTGAAAATTCTTAATCTCAGTTGTGATTGTAAGTCAAGGACTAACCCTATGCAGAGTGGTGCAGATCACTGCAAACGACAGAGGATCCTTGCCCCACATTCAACATCCATTTGCCAACTAAGGCTAGCCCTACTGGAAAGGCTGGAGTTTCACTCTCAACTATTACACCACTGGTTTTAAAGAGGTTCACCGCAATCACAATTAAAGGTGTTTATTCTCTTCTTGTTTGGCTACAGTTATTTCACCCACGAACCAATCGTTGCCCAGAGCCAAATCAGGTGTATGTATAACATATGACTTTGGTGAATATCCTAATGTGACACTGTGGCATAGCAGGGCACAGGCTAACCAGTGTCCTTCAGACATTGACTAATACACTTCTACAATCTCTTTGCCATTGGGCCTATAAATGTAATACACAAATGAAGAAATCCTGGCACATTAACAGAATTGGAAGGGCCCTTGTAGGACATCAAAAGGTTCCCCTCGCACATCCGTGCTAGTTGTTCCCAGCTCTAGGGGGCGGTGCTCATCTCCATTACAAAGCCAAAGAGCGCTATCCGAAGACGTCTCCATGGACATGTGGCCAGCATGACTAAACACCGAAGGCGCACAGAGGAACGCTGTTCTCTTTCCACCAAAGGTGGTCCCTATTTGTCCACTTGCATTTTTACATGCTTTCGAACTGCCAGGTTGGCAGAAGCTGGGACAAGGCATGGGAGCTCACTCCGTGACGCGGCGCTAGGGATTCAAACCGCTGAACTGCTGACCTTTCCGATCAACAAGCTCAGCGTCCTTAGCCGCTGAGCCACCACGTCTCACGTCGAGGGTGAGAGAAGTCAAAAGTGGAAAACAACGAGAAGGGATCGGTGGGTTGCCTGGTCTTGCTAAATTTGGGGGGAAATGCCACGGCAAACTCAACTGAGCACCCCTGTGGAAGACCAAGTCCTCCTCCTGAACTCTCCTTTTGTCAAAAGGTACATTTCCCTGAATAAAGCTTGCAAAGAAAGCCAGGAAGTTCTCAGCCGAGAGTTACCAGCCGTCTACTCATCCATGGAAAAAAAACTATTTCTTGGAGAGGACTTGGCGAGGCGATCACGGTTGACCTGTCCCATCAATTAATGTGTTTCATCCTTCACTGGAACCCTCTTGAAACTCAGCCAGTCTTAACAGTTGCCCAGAGGGTGAGTTATAACTAGGGAGGCAGACGTGGAAAACAAATGCTGCCACAAATGCAGTCAGCTGGATTGCTGCGGTGTGCTCTACGCGGGGCTGCCATTGAAGACCGTTTGGAAGGTAGAGCTGGTCCAGATGGCAGCAATGAAGGTACAGGTAATCCTCCACTTAACGACCACAGCTGAGTCCAAGGTTTCCATTGTTAAGGGAGACGGTTGTTTTGATAATGGCCGTATCCCATCAATACTGTGCAAGCTGCGCTGATTCCCATATAGTTTTCTGGGTGGAATTCTCCAAATTCAGAAATCTGTCCAAACACAGACCACCCGTTTATACCAGCCCCTGGGCAACGTCTAGGTGTGTGGACTTCAATTCCCAGAATTCTCATCAGTGATTATGCTGGGCAGTTGGAATCCTGGGATTTGAAATCTACTACAACTGGACGTGGCCCTGGTTGTGAAACGCTGCCTTCTTACAGCGGTGAGAGAAAGTCTGTGAACCCTTTAGAACGGGGGTCTCCAACCTTGGCAACTTTTAAGACTTGTGGACTTCAACTCCCAGAATTCCAGTTGGAGATCTGTCAGAATATATTCATGAACTGCAATGGAGCATGGTAACAAGGT